TATCTCCAGGTTATTTGTTACTCTACCAGCTGCTGTAACAAGCCCAACAGTTAAAACTTTAAAACTTCAACATTTGGTGTTTTCTTTTTACTTTATGTTAGCTCTCCCCAAGGTTTGGTTTCGTCTGAGCAAACTAGCCAAATAAATTCACATACAGTTATTACTGAAGAAACAACCACTCCATCCTGATCTAAAGTATATGAATAAATGAGCTGAAGAAAATATTATTTCCTTTTGAGATAACGGAGAGGTTAACTTAGCTGGAAAATAAAAGTAAAAACACTGAATAAAAAGAACTACCTGATTCTGGGAGATGAACAGATCCTCTCTGGGACATTCGGAGCAGTTAGTGTTGTGGAATGAAAAGGATGAGTTGATCCTGATCTCTAAGGGGAACCAAACTCTAAACAGTCTTTAAATATTAAACCCACAGAGATGAAGTTTCACCAGGTGCTGGCTTTAGTACCACAGAGCTCCTCAGGTTTCCCATACGTAAGGTAACCACACACACACACACACACACACACACACACACACACACACGCACGCACGCACGCACGCACGCACGCACGCACGCACGCACACACACACACACACACACACACACTTTGGCCTCTTGTTTTTATTTGTTTTCCAGGAAACTCCAAAATTGTGAAGGTCAAGCTGAAATAAGCCACACAGATTGAGGCACTGATGAGAATAAAGAAGTAATCTGTAGAGAAGTTAAAACAATAAAGTATTCTCTACACTAATGTGTCAGAATTTGTCTAAAATGTGCAAATAATAAATTAAATCAATGTTAAGGTCATTGCTGCTCCTGCTTCTGACAAACATTTCTCTCCTTTGCTCTATTGTTGTTGGCAAAGACGCTCTTAGAGGATATCCTTCTTATTTGTAAGCCAAAAGAATCATTTGGAACATTTAGACCATAGCTTGGCCATCTGCTTAACATACCCGACTTAAAGAAAAATCCATCCTGATGCTACTTTAATGAAAAAATACAGCTCTGACCATTCAGTCTTTATTCACAATCCAAGGTCTGCTCTTTTCCTTCCACAGGTTAAAGTAAAATATGCCAATTTCAACAAATAAAAGACAGTTTCAATGAACACACATGGGCGGGTCACAGCAGTCTGGCTGATCACAAAGACACTAACACTCAGAGGTTTGGTTATTTGGCACGAAGACAAAGTCTCACTGTGTCCAAGTGATTTCATCAAGGGATTCATCATTATCACGGTGCGAAAGCATTGTGTGAACGCATTCACCCTCTGTTGAGGCATGTGGTTGCTTTATGTTCTTGCTGTACAAACCTGAAACCACACCTTAAAGGAGCATACCTCATAAAACTGGAGTCAGACTATTTTCAGGAATCACAAATATTCAGGTAAAGTCAGGTGACGCTTGGTTTAAATGCATTGTGATGCATTTACCTCCCACAATGTTTTGTTAGATCAAAGATGATAAAAAGAACAATGTCAAAGGTTAAAAGCAAGGCCGGATTATAATATGGGCAAACTGGGCACAGGCCAAGGGGCCCACAGCCACAAGGGGGCCCACGCAAGCAGCAGTCTTTTTTTTTTTGTGCAGCAGTCTTAACAATGGAGAAAAATGTTGAGAAGTAATTAAAATTGCACCCACATTTTCTAAGTTAACACACATTTATTTTAACAATGGTAGTTTTTGCATCTTTACTGTTCCTGCTTCTGCCCTCTCCCCCTCCCCCTGCGCAGCAGCTCCAAACTCACTGATGCGCTTGCAGCCTCTCAGAGTTCCTGCTGCTCTAAACATTGAAAGAATCTTTTAATTTTCTGTTCCTCACTTCTGATTACCTTCAATGGTGTCTGTTTGTTGCAACCACCAGGTACAAAAATGAACTTGTTTGTATTTGACTATTTTTTCTGTCCTGTCTATTCATTATCTTCCTGCATCTCCTCTCAGTCCTAAAGAAAAACTGCTAAATGGCTTCATAAACATTCACCTTATGAGTTACCTTTGAACTGCAGTTAAAAAAGATCTACCGACCACAAAAATAGCGGAGTGCGTACCCAGCGCCGGCCGCACCGGTGAGGTGAAATCACCGGAGGACGAAACAGATTATCCGCTCCGCAGCAGTAAAATGCATCAGGCACAAATAAGACAGAAAATATAAAAGGATATGAGCCGACATAAACGATTGCGTGTTAAATTTGTTTTTGAGGTGGCGACACTTTGAGAATGTTACTGTGGCCGTTCTCAGGACGCATCTGTCTGGAGCTCGTCAACCATCAGAGCTCTGCGCCTCTCAGCTCTAAATAATCCCAGCAGAGTCCACATGAATAACTTAATATAAATAGAACCATGATTGTTTATGGGTTAAAAAATAGCCTACCGTCCATCTTCCCTAATGTGTTTGTGGCCCTGTGGATTTTTCTAACTCTACCTGCACTTCTTATATGTACCTCTCAACGTAGGACTCTTTCATAAGGGTACCACACCATCAGCTACATCAGCCCAGACAAGAGCAGAGAAAATAGAGACAGAATAGAGGATAATTCTGTCTGGATGTGGATGGAGATTACATTTTACAGCAGCCTGATCATCATTTAAATACCATTACCTGGCTTCTAGTCCACGCTATCACCATTATTTTAATTGGTGTGTGTGTGTGTGTGTGTGTGTGTGTGTGTGTGTGTGTGTGTGTGTGTGTGTGTGTTTTCCACTTCAACCACTGGTCTAACCAACCAGACCAGCATGTCCAGTGACATTAATGTTACAATTACACAGTTTTACTCCATGTAGGCTAGGAACATTTCACCTGCCGTGGCCCGACCGCTTCTGCTCCACATAAACTTTGTGCGTGATCAAATGTCTCTACAGGTGCTTTCTGAGCTGAAGAGGCTATTCTTCCTCAGACAGACAAGATGCGTCATGCGTCTCCATATTGGAGAGGGGAACAAGCGCTCTTCAGCCAAAGTTTCATAATCAGAGAACATTTTCCAAGTGCTACATCCCTCAGAGAGACAGGGTTTCCAGACCACTTCAGTGGAAGGAAGTCCTACCGCATCGCTGTGGTTCTGTGCTGCACTGCGAACCCCTCTACAGATCTTCAGCCCACTGTCCACCGTGTGCGCTGCAAGCTGCTCTGAGCACATTGTCCAGTATAAAGCTCTGATGTTCTGATGGGAATCTTTTCTTGATTTATTTAGTTCCCTCCGCGATGTGCGTTAACGATTAAAATGTCAGCTCATCTGTGTGCGCATCAGTGTGCGTCGGGTAATTCTTTCAAAACAACCAACATCCTTTAGTTTATCCATCAAAATAAACAGTCAAATGGAAAATATCTGTAACCTGCCATTCAACTGTTTTGCCTTCTTGCGAAGATTGTTGCAAAGAGAAACAATTCAACTTGATTAACACCAGAGCTATGCGCACTGCGCTGTACTGACTGTAAATGAGGGGGAAAATGATTTTATCGGATCCTTTTCTTACCTTTTTGACATGGCTTAATGTAAAAATTTCATTGAGTCCAAACTTTAGTCGCACCAATCTAGCGAGACAGAGCCTGGATTTGTATTCTGAACAGTTTAAACGTGTTTAAAATGGAGACATGCATGACGCGTCTAAAGTTCATACCTGCTCAGCTATTATGGAAATTAAACTAACAAGATGAATAACATAATTATTTTAGGCACAGACAACATCCCCCACACTTTTGAAAAGCTTGCAACGCGCCTGCTACCAGTTACAAATTGTGAAGGGGAACGATTTTCACAAATGGCAAGAATAAAAAATGAACTGAGAACAACACAAACTCAACAGCGCTTCAGTGCACTGTCACTGATGGCAATTGAATCTCAGCTTGTCAGGAATCTGGACTTTGATGACATTGTAAATGAATTTACTAATAAAAGGCCAGAAAGCAGTTTTTCTGAAGGCAAGAGAGGAGACCAACAAGAGGAAACAAAAAAGAAGAAGGAGCCAGGAGTCAAGAGGAGGAAGGAGACAGAAGACAAGAGGAGGAAGGAAACAGGAGACAAGAGGAGGAAGGAAACAGGAGACAAGAGGAGGAAGGAGACAGGAGATAAGAGGAGGAAGGAGACAGGATACAAGAGGAGGAAGGAAATAGGAGACAAGAGGAGGAATGAGACAGGAGACAAGAGGAGGAAGGAGACAGAAGAAAAGAGGAGGAAGGAGACAGGAGACAAGGGGAGGAAGGAAATAGGAGACAGGAGGAGGAAGGAGACAGGAGACAAGAGGAGGAAGGAGACAGGAGACAAGATGAGAAAGGAAACAGGAGACAAGAGGAGGAAGGAGACAGGAGACAAACAAAAACATGCAGATATTTAACCCGTGTATCAACATAAGTAAGCAAGTTTTTATATTGACAATGTTATGAAATGTCTAAAAAGTGGTGGGGGGTGGGGGCTAAGCACATTGTGCCCAGGGGCCCCTGCAATGATAATCCGGCCCTGGTCAAAAGTGCATTTTCTTTTCTGCAAAACAAGTTTTACTTTCCAGACTCAAACACTGCTCTTAAAGAATTTAATGAGTTCAGCCCTAAAGAATATTTCTTGTGCATGAGGGTGCACAAAAGGTCAAATTATTAATGAAAAACTCATCTATTAAAAAATTCACATATAAATTAAAATTAAAACAAATCCGTTAAAATATGCAGCAAATGGGTCCAGGACCGAGGGCAGTAGTCTAAATAAATATCTATATTTAATTTAATTTTATTCCGTATTATCAAACGCTTCTCAAACTTTTACATGTCTGCAAAATGACTCATTTACCACAAATAAGTGAAAGCCAAGAAGATTGAATGAGAAGCCATAAACTACCCGCGGATGTCCCGGATGTTTTATATCCTCTTGATTTTCAATGAGATACCAATTTTTATGAAAGCTTATGGGCTGCTCTGCACATGTGTTTCGGTAAGCCGCGTGGCTTTAAAAAAAGGCTGAAGGAGAAGCAGCTCGGCTTTGGTGCACGGAGAGCTGCTGTGCGTAAATGCGTCGCGCTGCGCTCTGGGTTCTACAGGAAAGGAGTTCAGTGGCTGGAGCATATGGGCCGGACCGTTACTAGGTGGGGTTTAGTCGTGTATAAATACACAACCTTCTGCACCAAAACGCCCCTGGAACCACTCTGAAATTATCTTCCCCCATCTGAGAACACTCGGTGAGTAGTTTATCCACAAAAAACTCCAGTTTGTTCTCCGGTTCTTGAGATGTTAGCTGCGTTTGGATCTTGATGTTATAGCTCCAGGTTACTTCCCTTTTTAGATGTTGATGTAGCAGATGAGGGTGTGGCTGAGGTGGAAAAAGTGCAGATGTTCTGGAATTTTTACATTAAACGTTCTGGTTTATACGCCTTTCTCATTTTGTACATTCGTTAAATATTAATAACAAATGAAGAAAAGTAAGAGATCCAGGCGGCAATATCTTGTGTTGTAGCTGAACGTGGGTGTGGTTGCTGGGCAGACTGACTTAAATCTCTGGTAAATACAGGCTTTGCTTTGTGTTGCCTCCTGTTGGATGAAAGGGAAAAAGCAACCTTTTTAAAAGCTTGACTGAAAAAAAGCTGAGTAAAGTTTAAGTTAGAGAGCTGCCATGAGACAAAATTTAGCTTTCACACTAAAAATACACTTTTCTTCTTACTCTGCAGACGCAACCATCAGCTCAACATGTCTTTCATTCAAGCCTTCATGCAGCAAGCCGTCTACATCGGCATGGCTGATGAATCCGTGAGTAACTCTGTGGTTCGGTTGCTTAGGCCAACCAATCTGTTTTCCTTTTTTCTCTCCTCTTGTGGTATGCTGGGATGGAAAAAGTGATTAGGCACACACAGAGGAGGAGAGAGAGCGAAGTCTACAACATACACACAGAGTTGAGTGACTGAGTTAAAAGTAGAAAAGCTGAGCACAATGATGAGATAAAAGATGGCAATAAAAATAAAAGCGAAAAGGAGAATCTTGACTGTAAAGGTCACACGGAGTGAGAATGACGACTGTGCTAAGGTTTTGGAAGCGTGTGACTCACCAAAGCAGGAATTTGTGCCCCTCCCTTTATAAACTCTGCAAACACAAAATGGTACTTCTCCTTTCCTCCGCTGCTTTAAGTGAACAAAGGAAAAATTGCACAAGCCTATCCTGCATGATTTAAACTTTTTAGTTCTGGCTCATTTTAGAGTTTAAAGTGTACTATCATGGTCTTCATACAAAACAGGAGTAAAAAGGTTCCTAAATTCGTTCAAGAACAGTAAAAAGGGTCAAGAGAAATGGTTGATGCAGGGGTGTGGCATAATCTGCTTGCTTAAAAATTTGAAAAGTGTACTTTTGCAACCCGTCTCGCTCAATCCAAGTATTTACCAAACAAACATCTGTCTCTCAGACCCTGAAGAATGAAGGAACAGTGACAGCAGCAGCTAATTTCAACCCTGGTGCAGATGTCACTGTGTTGGATAAGGCCATCAAGGCAAAAGGTAAACGTAAAAGGCACAGATAAATGCTTTCAGCATGTTTGGACAAGTCTTGACCTTCATGCTCTCTCCTAAATCCTGAGGCCTGTTTTTTCTTGGTGTGTTAAAGTTAGCACCATCTGCTGGTAATCATTATCACAACAAAGCATGCATCTGCAAAGAGGTTGAAATGAACTTCTCATATCGCTGGGTTCTTAACTTCTAGTGTAAACCCTGTGCAGTGACTGATCTCTGTTCAATCCCTCTGCAGGAGTGGATGAGAATACCATCATCGAAGTTCTGGTCAAAAGGAGCAATGATCAGAGACAGCAGATCAAAGAGGCTTACCTCAAGGCCACAGGCAAGGTAATAAAGCTGCACTCACTTGATGACAGGAAGCAGTTTACTCTTTAGATTTAGTTCACAGGAGTTATTGTGTTATGTTATTCCCTGTAGCCTTTGGAAACAGCACTGAAAAATGCTCTGAAGGGAGATCTGGAGGATGTGGTGCTGGCTCTGCTGAAAACACCGGCCCAGTACGACGCCCAGCAGCTGAAACAGGCAATGAAGGTACTAACACACATGCACTTTTGATGGATACACTCCTCAAACCCTCTCATTTGTTGTTTTCTTAATAGGAGCTTAAATATACATTTATTAGCTTTGAATATACGAACAAAAAACACTGTCATGTTGCACTTCCCTACATCAGGGTCTTGGAACAGATGAGGACACTCTTATAGAGATCCTGGCCTCCAGAAACAACAAGCAGATCCTGGAACTGAAGAAAGCCTACAAGGAAGGTGGGTGCCAGAAGAGCAGAAGGTGCATTACAGAACAAGTAATTCATGCAAATGTTTGTTTTTTGTTGTTTTTCTAAGATTACAAGAAGGATCTGGAGGAGGACATCAGGTCTGACACCAGCGGGGACTTCAGAAATGCCCTCATGGCTCTCTGCAAGGTAGATGTGTCTGCACTTGCTCCCAAAACACTCATATTACACACAAGAACACAAACTGAAAATGGCATTCAAGACGAGCAAAAGTACAGTATAAACTCAACATAATGAACATCCATTCCATCAAAAGCAAAAGGAAAAGCTTTTTTCCCTAAATTGTAATGTTATATTTAGTTTTCTATGCATTGTTTCTGCCTTATAGTATCGTTGCTATAGATAAGAAAAAGACATAATAAATTAGATATTTTTTGTTCATTGCATGCCACAGGCTGGCAGGACTGAAGGAGTGAATGAGCAGCTGATTGACAGCGATGCCAGGGCTCTGTATGAAGCCGGGGAGGGCAGGAAGGGCACAGACGCCTCCGTTTTCATTGAAATCCTGACCACCAGGAGCGCTGCTCATCTTCGCAAAGGTTAGTTGCTGTGCTGAGTAGCATGCCTTTTTAAACTATTTTTTTCAACTTTTCTTGTGAAATCCAACATGTTTTTGGTACTTCCTCCTATCTGTAGTATTTGACCGCTACTCAAAATACAGCAAAGTGGACATGGCCAAAGCGATCGACTTGGAGATGAAGGGAGATATAGAAAACTGTCTCACAGCAATTGGTACAAGAAGACACTTTCATTATAATTTTCATGTCTGACATAAATAAAAATTCAACTTTGACTGTTGTGTTGAATTTTAACAGTGAAATGTGCTGGAAGCAGGCCTGCATACTTTGCAGAAAGGCTCTACTTGGCCATGAAGGTATTGTCTTGTGGCAAAACGCTGACATCCTGCCGAGACCTCCCCTGATTCCTGTTTTCATTTTGTTTATGTCACCACCATCAGGGTAAAGGTACCCGTAAACACATCCTGACACGCATCATGGTGAGCCGCTCTGAGATCGATATGAAGCGAATCAAGGATGAGTACAAGAAAACCTACGGAAAAACGCTCTACCAGGAAATTCTGGTGAGTGGAAATCCCTAAAGAATAACAATATAAATGATCAGTTGTGTCTCACATTTCATTCTTTATGAACTTAATCAATTAAAGTTTTAAGTTTGATTGAAATTATTATTTTCTCTCTTTAGGATGACACTAAAGGAGACTATGAGACGATCCTGCTCGCTCTTTGTGGGGGTGAAAACTAAACGTCTTTTACTGGGATCAAGTTCAAAAGCCAAAGGTTTTCCATATTGTGCCTTTTTGTATTGTGGAGAACTGAGGAGCGACTTTGTTTGGGACCACCAAAGCCTTTAGCCAAGAGCAAATATTAAGTTGATGCTGCTTCAGCAAACGTATTCCCCCCTAGGAATTAAGTTTTGATCTGAAATATTTGAGAATAGATCTTACAAGAACATACCACTGGATCTATGGTCTCAAATGTTTTAGCTTTGCCTTTTTCATTTGAAGCTCAAGTCAGGCTGCAGTGTAGCTGATATATACAGATCATCACAAGTCATTTTTTAGTGGTAGTAATACTTTTGAAGGAGCTTTGATATCTGCAAATAAAGCTTTTTTTTAATGAAAAGCAGCCTGAGAGGTCTCATTGCTTTGCACATGCTCATAAAACACAAAGTCACCAATAAATCAAGAATGATGAATTTAATAATAATAATACAATGCAAAAAATTTCAGAAATCCTCAGGAGCTTTTTTAAATGAAAAAGATTAATGTAGCAAATGCAGCGTCACTGAATGGCCTTTGATCTCTTAGGAATTAAAACATAAGCTGAATAGCAACAGCCTTTAATTCCTAAATATGTAGTTTATCAATGCTACACAAATATAAATGAGTCAATGCTACACAAATATAAATGAGTGTTGAGAGTGGAAAAGTCATGAAAATGTGGAAAAAGTCAAAATTTTCAAACAAAGAAGAGTATATGTTAATGAGTTCACAAATAATCAAGGTGTGGTACTTGTGTAAGTATAGGAAAAGGAGTAGCTCAAAAGTAGAAATCTGTTTTCACTGTTTTACTTATCTTGGCATTGGCGCTGCTTGAAAAAGTTTTTTTAATCTCAGTGGCATCTTCTTTGTGAAATACCTGTAAGTACATTAATAATTAAATGACACATTATCAGGTATGTTCAGTGAAAAGAGAAACAAATTAAACAATACATTAACAAAATAAAAAAATATTAAAAACTGGTCAAGTTGAAAAGCCTAAACTACATTGCACTGCGTTTTTGCCCATCTAAGGCTAACGACTACACTACATTATTAAATAACTTTATATTAAAACAATTTTGACATGACATTAGAATTACACCATGTGATGATTTCAACCAAGAATATTGAGAGCTTTTATTTTAGCTTGTCAAATCTCTAGAAACAGGTGGCTGATTGTGTCAGCACAGCCATTTGAAAGCCTTCGTGATAAAAATCTGGTTAAAATTTCTGTGGAGTTTGTAACTATTCTAATGTGTATGCTATGAAGCTCAGTTGAATATTTATATTTGTAATTTTTAGCCTGATCATTCACTTGTTTGCAGATTGAGCTGTGCTTTTCTAGATCTGCTAATCAGCCACATTTAAATATTGATGGAAACAAATGAGTCTTCTTCACACATTGAGTACAGATTATCATGTGGGGCAACAATGACAGAGGAATCGAGGCCGCCCAGTAGCTAAAAGATTGCAGGTTCAAGACCTGTCTTTTGTGTCCTTGAGCAAGTCATGTAATCCACTGTTGGTAGGGATCTGCGGGACTGGTGGCACCAGTGCTCAGCAGCCTCACCTCTGTAGTGTGCCCCAGGAAAGCAGAGGCTATTGTAACTTATCACCGCCATCATGTGAATGTGTGGGTGAATGACTGGTTGTGTTGTAAACACCTTGGGTGGTTGTAAAATTCTAGAAGGTACTATGTCAAATACAGGCCATTTACCATATATATTTATGGCATTTCATCTTGTCCATTTTATTTAGTGTAGAAGTTACTGTGGGAGAAAATTCATAAATGACTCATGTTGTAAACACACATCTTCAGTGTTGGGAAAGTTCGTTTGAAAAACGAACTAGTTCAAAGTTCAGTTCATATATTTTAAAACGAACTAGTTAGGTTCTTAGTCAATAATTAAAAAAAAAATTTGAACTAAGTTCACTATTCCAAAAACGAACTAGTTCATAGTTTCCTCATATATATATATATATATATATATATATATATATATATATATATATATATATATATATATATATATATACATACACACACACATATATATACAATGAATGTGTCCGGCCACAACACTGCATATCTTCTGTTTCAGCAACAAATCCCACATTTATGAAAACACTAAAATAAACAAAAACTGTATCCCTACTTTTACTTTTTAATCTCCAGTTAGCTTTAATAGCTGTTTCCATGGAGTCTGGCAAATGGAAATGTACTTTTTAGATTGAATAACGGGTCTGATGAAAACAGGAATATTTTATTAGCGTATCTAAGTCCATAAGATGGCAGTATTGCAAGTCTAAACGGGTCTGTTGCTCTAAATTCTTTGAAGAAGAAGAATCGCTCTTCGAACGTTTTCTGTATGTGCGGAAAGGGGGATGTTCACACTCATACCTGGCAACGTCAAGCTCTTCATTCAGCCTGTCAACAAACCGGTGCATGCTATGATTGGCTAACGCTGGGTAAACCAACATTTTTTTCAGTATTTTGCTAAAAAATAATACACAGTAGTTGTCAAAGTATTCTTTCTTACTTTTCTGTTAGATTATTGGCTCTAATTAGACTGACACAGCGTACAACTGCGTTTAAAAACTATTTTAATAGACACGATGGAACTAGCTCGCTACTTAGCTTAGCATTTAGTTTGACAACTGGCTACTGTAAACCCAATGCTGCTCAGACTTAGTGGTAATAATTTAATTATGAAAATGCACGTGTAACTGGATTATTAAGTGAGTCTGACCGTGTCTGACACAAAGGAGGCCATTGCTCGCTGGGGTAATGTTACAGGTAACTGAGATGGACAGAGCAGCAGTAAACCAGCAGCAATGACCCAGCCTTTTAAGGCTGCTGGTATGGGATGTGGAGGCAATTAGCTCCCTACTAACACCCAGCACTGCTAGATTTGACATTTATCTTAACAAACTCTGATTTTTTTCTGTTTTGTATTTCAGGGAAGTCTGTTAATCATTTTGAAGCCACCCATTTAAAATCTAAACAACAATAAAAAAAAATCAACAACCTGACCCATGGACCACAGCAGAGTCTGTTCAACTAGAGAGGTGTGCTTTGAAGAAGACCATGAATGACAAACTAGTCTTCTTGGGCCTGCTGTATTTTGTTCAGGGTATTCCCTATGGTCTCCAGTCTTCTCTGCTGCCGGTCTACCTGCGTGGAGCTGGCCACTCTCTCACCCGCATTGGTTTCACCAAGATCCTTTACTTCCCTTGGGTACTGAAGGTTCTCTGGGCCCCTTTGGTGGACAGAGTGGGTACTAAGCGTCGCTGGCTGGTGGGGACGGTGTCTGGCCTTGCACTGGCATGTCTATCCAGTGCTGCCTTGGCCCCAGAAGCACATATCTGGGGGGTAGCTGGAACTCTGTTGGCTATGAACACCTTAGCCTCTGTTCAGGATATTGCTGTGGATGGGGCAGCAGTTGGGCTTTTGAAAGGACGTGGGGAGCTGGGGCTGGGCAATACTGCCCAAGTTGTAGGTTATAAGGCTGGATCAGTATTCGCTGGAGGAGGACTCCTGGCTGTGATTGATGTCGCAGGATGGAGTTGGATGTTTATGCTGCTGACTTTTGTGTATGCTGGCGTGGCTCTGTTTGTGTGGGGGGCCCCTGTGCTGGACGATGAGACTTTAAGAAGCCAACAGGCTGATGGCAGGAAAGGTGGGCAGGGAACAGAAGCTGTAAGGCCATGGAAGGTGTGGAGGAAACTGATGGCAGTACCCGGCACATCTTGGACAATCCTTTATGTGCTCACATACAAACTAGGTAAGTCTTGATTGTATGTAAATACTTTATTATAAACACTGGTAACAAATGCCTTTTTTTCATCATATCCTTTACCCACACACATGCAACTTATTTTGTTCTATAGATCCATTTTTTTCACTTAATCCCAACGAGTTAACATAATTTTTTTTGTCAAATGTGAAGGAAATCATTAGAAAAACTTTTTTTCACAGCATCTTGGATCATTTTCAAATTGTATACATCACTGTTAATCTTTGACTAATTTGATCTGTTACTGATTGTAGATAATTGATATGAATTCCAAAGTATGTATAGATTCTCAATCAAATATGTGACTGTAAAGGTCAGCTTCACTCATTTTAATACATTTGCTGTGGTCTCTATCAGGGATGAATGCCTTGTAAGTCGTACTCTGGGGAAAAATGCTCTGGTGCACCTGTTTGACTACAGAAAAGTCATCTCACATCTGATTGGCTAACAGCAATGTAACTCTACCACTGACTCAGTTTACTTTGCAATGTTAATGTTTTATCTCTACAACTAACACAACCCTGGAGGAGTTCTGCTGTGTGGTGTAGTTGCTAATGCTAATGTTAGCTTTTACTAGTCTAGACATTCTCTGCTGTTTCCTGGATGCTAAACCAACAACAGTCTACCCAGTTGCGAACCCAGATGAGTGAGTCCATGAACGTTAAGTGACTGTGACTGTAGATCTGTGAGGATTTTCAAATTCTATCATTTCACTCTCTTTATTTCTGTCAGAAGCTAATGCAGGAAATGGGGATGGATTTTTTTTTCATGTTCAGCCAGTATGATAAACTCATAGTCATAATCAGAAATAATAATTAAAAAGTGACCTTTAAGTAGCTGTTTTGGCCCTTTATTATACTTCCCCTTTTCCACAAAAACGTCTTTGGTTTAGAACAGAATAAAAGACTGTTAAAATAAGCACTGTGTTGACATTATATCAAGTATTTTGAAATAAATTCAAAATTAACTCACAGTAGTCTCCCAAAAAAGGAGGAACGAAAGAAGAAAAACTTAATCACTGAATTAAAAGCTTTTACTTAAAGTGTTTTTAAGTTTTCTGCGTGGAAATTAGACCACAAAAGTCTAAGATTTTTAAGTTGTCCTTTGTGTCCCATTTTAAACATCCCTATTTCACCACTAGATGCCACTGTTGGTGTTCAGTGTTTAAACCCAACAACTGGTGTATTAAAGAAATAAGAGACATGATTGTGTCAAAGAACTTTATTTTGTCCAAGGAGCTCCTGAGTACACACAGAGAATTACAGACCCCAGACCAACTAAACACTTGTTCTTAATGTTGCAGTTACACTAGTTACACTATTACAACCCTACGGCCAGTTTTTAAACCTTTTTTATTGGAAGCAATAAAAATAAAACAGATTTTAAACTGTTTCTGAAGTAGTCCAGGTTTAGAGCATGTGGTAGCGAGAGTCAACATGACCAGAGTTTGGTTTTTGGTAGCAGAAGGGGATTATGTAAGGATTAGAGCGTCTTTGTGTCTGTGCGTAAAGTAACTGAAACGGAAGACGATGCATGCGGTTGTGTGTTTACATGTATGTGTGTACGTGGGTGGTGGGAATTTAATTGTCTCCTCCTATTTGCATGTTCCTTGCTTGTGTATGTGGATAAATGTATAGGCCTTTGTTTTTATACTGCGTGTGTGTGACGGTGTGTGTTTTTCAGAGTGTTAAGGGTGGCTCAGTAATCTGATAATCCCCAGCAGACGACACTACTAGACAAAATATGAAGGCTGGCTGGACCCCCTAATCTGTCTAGGGAGCAGCCCCCCCCACTCAACACTCTCTCTACCGTATGAACAGGGACACACACACACACACACACACACACACACACACACACACACACACACACACACACACACACACACACACACACACACACACACACACACACACACACACACACACACACTATTTGTTTATGCCTATGGTGAAAATGATTGTTCTAAATGTTTTAAGCGCCACAATTGATCACTTTATCAAAACGATTTTCCTTCTCTACCAATAGCAATATGTCCAATAACAATTTTAGATTACGTTCGGATGTCCCAGCATACTTATCAATGTGAGACAGTATTGTTTTTGTTCAAGGGGTATGTGGATATGTTTGTGTGAGACCAGTAATCTGCCTGTCTGAACCCCCCAATTCTCACACTCACACGCACTTACAAGCTCAAACCCCTCTCCCTCGGCTGTCACTAATGAACTCTGAATTTGTGCTGCGTCCAACACTGTAGCCAATCACTGGCAGCCTTGTGTCTGAACTGTGACCCCTGTGCCATCTGAGGCTAAGAGCATGATGGGTGAACTGTCTGGGTAGACTCCGAGAGACGGGCGGGTGGAGCAACGGGGGGAGGGGGGGGGGGGGGGGGGGAAGAAAATGGGAAATAAGCCAGGAAAGTGGCAAACAATGGTGCTTGGAGTTGTAATTATTCTTACATGTAAATGTGTTTATCTTGTCACGCTGTATTCACTAAATATTGAGTTGAGGTTATTTTATAAAAAGTGTGATAAAGAGGTAATTCATGACTAAACATTTAAAATGTAGCTCAAACAAAAAGATAAGATAAAGATAAAATATGATAACAAATGGAAAAGTACACGCAAACTGCTTCTTGTCTTGTTTTAACAGAGAAAGTTTTTTTTAGTGGACAGTTTTTGTGTTTGTGGTCTGAGTGACTGATATGTTTGGGTGCAAAAGAAAAGAAGTTGGAGAAATTCTTTTCCTTGACCATATCTCATAAGTCAACTCTATAGGTATGCTAGAGATAATAAAATTGCTTTACAGTAGAACAACTGAAAGTCAGAATTAAGCAAGTGTAGGGCTGGACGATATAGAAAAAAACTATCGATAAAACAAAAAGCATCTTTATTTATATCAATAATTATTGAAAACTATATGAAAAATGTAGAAAATATTTTTAAAGTGCAGTCCTGGCCGTTTAATGTAATTACTTTATAATAAAACAAGTTGGTTGCATTATCAAACTTGGCTTTTATTGATTCTCTGCCAATTTTGCAAACCACCATTGTTTGTTTTTTTGTCAGACTCGTAAGAATGAAAATATCGCCACACTGCTGAAGTACTGTAACCTTTTTCTGGGACAATTTCTTCCCCCTCTCATTGCTACAACATCTTGTTTAGGTCACATTGCTGTCTGTTTAGGTTTGTGAGGAGGGTGCTTGGTGATGAAGTGTGCCTGGGTCTGGGTTTTTGATTGGTTGGGTGTAAGGAATGACTCTAGCATGAAACTATAGGTTATAATGGAAAAAGGAAACTTTTTATTGAAGTTTTTATTGAACCATTATTTTTCCACATGTCTATCGATCGATACATATCGTTATTGAATTATTGTCCAGCCCTAAGCAAGTGTATGGAGGACTAAATGAATGGAAAAAGCAAAGCCTCATTTTAGCAAGATGGAATAAAAATATGTTTTGCTGCTGTTCTAGAAATAATGAAAAATGTTTTGCAGCTCGTGGAACAAAGATCTGTTTTAAATTTTTTAGCTAATTTGTTTTACACTGAGAGGCAATGCATTACTCTTCCACTGTACAGCCACCAGGATAAATATGTTAAAAGTACATCAAGTAAAAACTTTCCGGGGAAATAATCACAAAATTGTCTAATGTCTCAATCCTGTTGGAAGGAAGGTTACACTGAAATGGATCTCCTTTCGAAATGGCCACAGAGGGATGCCGTCTTTGTTTACAATCTGTGAGCCGTGGGGTTGCTTAGTGGGTGCCGCAGCGCCATTATTTGTAAAGAACCACTAAAGCCTGGTTTATACTTCTGCAATGGTGCAGAGACACACAACGCCATAATGCGTCGGCCTCGAGGGCTCTCCAACAGGCACACAGAGGGTGCTGAGACATGCCCAAAACTTTATAAACATCCGGCCAACGTGTTGGAGGCCCCAAACTTGTGATTGTTCAGGACGCCACTTCTTTTAACGTTTATTCACCCATGACTGAAGGAGCTCTAAAATACGGAGCACACTTTTTATTCGTGGACGGAAATGACGGGAAACATTGTTTTAGAGCATGGTTTAGAGTTGCAGGAGAATGGAGGACAAATTTATCCATGTTATAAAGTCTCTGAAATATATAAACAATGGTAAATACACTATTGTGGACCGGATACATGAGTGTAATGGTGGCATGATCTCACAGAAAAGCATTACGCCCTCTGTTGACCTGGTGGGAAATTGCTTTGCAACACTCCCCAGGTGACGGAGAAGTCCGAGAGCAAAACATCTGTCAACGCGTGTCCGTCTCTCCCTCGCAGAGCTGACGTAGATGTATAAGTCAGGCTTAAGTAGCATGAGCGTATTTTTGTTTTACTCTAATATCAAGTGTAGAAGGCTAGAGGCTAACGTTGAACTAACAATGGTAACGATAATTAGAAACAAATTTTCTGTTCTAAAAAAACCTCAGGCTGCTTTTTCAGTTACCAGCAACTCGATTTTACAGTGAAGTGTATTTATCTATTTATCAACTTGCTGTGGATGACTCGTCTTCGCTCGTCATCTAGAATCTTTTGGCGTTGATCCATAAATGGCAACTGCCATGAAACTCATGAGACGGTAGTAAGAAAGTAACTCGCGTGATTAGAAAATGGCCCGCAGTAACCAAATTTGGCAACAGGATGTCGTTTGGAATCACTTTCAATTATCAGCCATTTTAAAAAAATTCACCTGCTTGCAAGAACAATAATATAATGGGAACTATAAAACTTGACTGAATATTTAAAATGTCTAAATAAAATAGACCAGTAGGCCATAAGACATTTAGATAGTGTGTTGACTAGTCATTGACTTTATGTTCCTGAGCCCTGGGGACCAGAAAGAACCCGCTGACTCATTTTGTCCAAGTGTGTTAAAACATTGAATGTCGTAAAACTGCACATTGACCAGGTCATGTTCGCTGCTGTCCTCAGTGAGACTGTCCATCTGAAAAGTGTGTTTTTTTATGCATGTATACATTTACTGCCTTGTCTCTAGACATGTTTGTATTAACCTGATATTGTGTGTGGAGTAGCAATGCTGCTCTACAAGGTGGCTCTGTGTGTACACTGTGATCTGTCCTGCTCTCCCAGCTCTTTTGTTAGAGCTGCTGCACAGACGTCAGTCACTCACCCCTCTGTCCTTGTCGACCTCACGCCCTCAAGTTTATCCTTCTTTGATCCCACTCCACATTACAACCCTAGCTCCTCCGACACATTGTTGTAACATTAAAATCACCTTTGTGAAATGCCCTGAAATTGGAGGACTTGTGATGGAGATTGACTTTGCTAAAATAAACCGATTAGGGAAATATAAAAACATTTTTATTAGGGTTTTTGGTGTTGTAGAAGGGGTGTTTTCCACTTATTATTAGATGCTAATTAGCTGTTAAATAACCTGTAACATCCTGATCACGGTTTAAAAAGGCGATGCTCATAAAACCGCTAAGTTAACAAAAGCCAAGGGCTGGAAGTATTCTTTCCTCTCCTGAAATGCTAAAGTTGTCCTAAATTTCATATGAGTGCAGACGGTTTCTGTTAACATTTTTAAAAAGTAGGATAAAAAATTTCATCTCCCTGATGTTTTTAATGCTCCCTCCTAATGATAGTTTTGTCTTTTTGTGCTGACTGTAAATACAGGTTTCTTTGAGCCTGCCATCCCTCCTGTTTCCTCTTCACTAACCTCCTAACAATGTCTCTGTTCATCCCACTCCAACTGTCTCCATCCATGGCTGCTGTCCTATCCCTTACATCATGTTTAGTTTGCATCCTTCCACTTATGACTGTTTGATTTTTATTCTCCATTAAATCTCTTCTTTTCTAGACTGTCTCGTTCTGATCTTTTTTTTTTGTCTTGTTTTTTTTTTGTTAAATATTCTTCATCACTTTCTCTTACTCTTGGCTTTTCCATGATTTAAATCCACTTGATTTCCTCTTTTCCCTTCTCCCTCTTTCTTTTTACTTTCTTCACTTAGTAAAATTTTTTAGCTGCCCTATAAAATCTCAGTTAAAATGGACAGTTGTTGCTTTGAGAATATTTATAGAAACAAAAATAATCAGCTTGGCTTTATTTATCCGTAGATCCCCCCACAACTCCCCCTCCTGTAAAGAAATAATTAGTTGAAGGCAGGACTGTGAAAGCATTGAGCTGAACCACAGAACCATGGGTAAATAGCCCTGGCATTATGGGTACTGATGCTGCCAGTGTTTATTTTGTTATGACTAATATAGTTACTGCATAGTTGAAGGAACTCAGAACGGTTTAGGTCAGAGAATGACAGATTCAAATGTGATTAATACATAAAAATAGGTGTAACACCCACTGAGTGTGTACTGTATAGATAATCAACTGTCATTGTCCAGCAAAATCTGTTGCTGTTTATTTACACACTGTACTAAAAGCTTTAACTTAGAGTCCCGATGGCTTATTTTCATACATGCTGTCATCTGAGTTGCACATAAATATCATTTCATTTAACTTTATTTGTAAAGCCCCTTCCACGACCTTATCGGACACCGAAGGCGCTGGACATTACAACAATCAAGAACAACTACAAGTAGAACAGTATAATATAGCCATAAAATCATAAAACCCAATTAAAAAAAGACCACATTACATGCAGGACAGTTGATCCATGCTACGACATCTGCTGTTGAAAAGCCATGACATAAAAATGTGTCTTCAAACGGGACTTAAAAAGCATCAAGGAAGTTTACTGGCTGACGGACGGACAATTAAAGGCAGTTCATTGCATAGCCTCAAAGTCAACACTGAGAATGCACGATCCCAACAGTTCTTTATCAGCCGAGCCAAGGGCTCTTGATGGAGCATGATAGTTCAAAAGGCTAGCCAGGTAAGGAGGCGCAGTTCCCTGAGGAACTACATACATCAGAGTTAGCACCTTGAATTTCACCCTGAAGTGCACAGGGAGCCAGTGCAGATTTTCCAGCACAGGAGTAATATGCTCCCTATGTGTTGTGCCTGTCAATAAACTAGCAGCTGCATTCTGTTACTAACTGTAATCGTACCACCGCACCCTGACTTAGGCCGACGTACAGCACATTATTCAGTAGTAGTCCGTTCTGGATATGACTAAAGCATGAGTGACAATTCAGGTGTACTCTTGATAGCAGGGGCTTAACTCTAGCCAAGCAATGTAGGTTAAGGAAGCATGCCCGCATAACATGGTGAATATGCATCTCAAACTTGAAGCGGGAATCCATCTTCAAACCTAAATTGATAACGGTGCTCTTCAAATTAGCCTGCAAAGGTTCTAGATCAACATCAGCGCTCACAATACCTGCAGTAAGAACTATAACCTCAGTTTTGTCATCATTCAGACGCAAAAAAAGTTAGAGGCCATCCAGGATCTAATATCCCCTAAACAGTCTAATCAGTTTGACACAGATCTGCCTGCCACCCACTGAAGGGGAAGATAGATCTGGCAATCGTCTGCATATAGATGAAAATTTACTCCATGCTGCTGAAGGAGATAACACAATGAAAGTAGATGAATTCTTTCCTTTTAATTAGAGGTGCAGTATAGTTTTAAACCCAACAAATCAAAACATCATTATTCATACATTCATTATTATAATGGAACTGGATAGACAGTTTAGCAAATTTTCTTTTCCTAGTTAATTTATTTGATTTCCATTTCTTTCACAGTAAAATAACAGATGAGACAAATAATAGACAGACTTTTTGATTTCCATTTGACATGAGGAACTGAGTTGTTCGCTTTCGTATACAATGTTAAAATTGCAGATTGACAGATATTTCTATTACAAATCCCGATATGTAGAGGTCATGGTCCGTAATACGTCCTGTCGATGTTTTGGGCCAATTTCCATGACCGATATTTAGATGTTTTCTGCCTTATTTGCATGTTGAAATATCACACTAATAAAAATGAATGAACCATATTTCAGAATCCAGTTTTTTTAATGAAATGAGCCAACTCCTGAATCTTAAATCTGTACACTTTTCAGTATTAAAACAAAACATTTAACCAAAGTTTATCAAACAAATCAATAAGCCTGCTAAAACACCTAAAGTGTATTCACTTGTTTTCACTTTTTAATACTAATTCTTAAACATTGTCGGTAAACTGTAAATAAAGCCTTTATTTTTTTATTTGCTGACATGATGCAGATCTGTGTAAGAGGGCCAGAGTAATGTGATTGTGTGACAACAAAGACATTCTGATTCTGATTCATGCTCTTGACTTAGCAGCACCACAACAACGAACCCCTCATGCCGAAGGCTGGACATTGAGACTTTCCATCATGTTATCTACACATGTGCCTAACTTTAAATTAACTCTAGTGAAGAGGTATTCAACATTGGCCGATATATTTAAAAAAACTGTAAATATTGGCCTGATATATCAGTCTAGTTATTTTGGAGCTGAATATATTCAATGTTTGCTTATTTTTAGTTGAAAAAAAAACTGCATTTATTATAAACATTGATACTATTTGTTTATCTGCTGCTATACGAATCTTGTTGGCTTAAATTAAGTTATAGCTTTTTATAATAGCATGTTTTATAGATTTCTTTCATGAAAAAAACTGTTTCTGATTACCTGCACTGTGGCAGCTTTTTACTATGTCTTACCATAAAAGATGAAACGACTCATTTTCTGTCATAAAGCAGATGTCCAATCTGATTGGCTGGATTAACCTTCATGGGGGACTTTGACACAGTCAGTCCTGTCTGTATGTTGAGCATGTGTAATATGCCAGCAGTAACACATGAGTGACAGAAGTGAGAGACAAGTGTTTGCTACACTGAGAATCCATGTTTCCTCCCCAGGTTTCTGGAAGGTTGTCACGCCACTGTTACAGCGGTGACACTCTTAATTCTGCTGCTGCACTCCCTATCACTGGGAGTCTGTTTCATCTTTCTTTTTTCCCCCTCTTTCTCTATTTTTGTTTGTCTCCTGGCTGACTGAGTGAGTGAGTCGTCGGTTGTGTTGCGTCGTCTTTGACAGCAGTCTGGGAGCCAAGCTGTCACTCAAACAGCTCCTTGGTCCCACTGTCTTTCTGAAGTCAGTCTCCATTAATATAATAATGCTATGTAGTCGGCGCCACTGAATATTTTACTGTAATGTTCTGCAGAACGTTACCCCCTCACTCAACGCAACACAGAGAAAGTCTTACCGTCTGGCAGAAACTTTTTATTTTGACTGAAAGGTCTTTGTGAGGTCTGTTTTATCTGTGGAAGTTTTTGTGTTTTTGTTGTGTTTTCCTTTTTTGTGGTTTAGGAAAAGTGATAGGCTCCTGTTTGATGAAGTGACTGAGGGTATTCTTTTTCTTGTTAGGCATCTATTATTGACACTTTCCAGGAATAGGCCTAGGTACGCTGCACGTCGCTGTTCATTTAATCCTGCAGTCGTCATCTCAGGAAAACTTGTTCAGGCTTGCAGGCTAAACCGTTTGATTCAACATCACTACGACATATTTACTGTAGATGAAAAATAGTTTTGCTTAGTCAGAAACATGCAGCACATGGTCTGCTGATTTAAACTTTAACCTGCAAGACTTACTACTTCTGCTCATGCTCTCTTAAATCATGTGTGTCTTGTCTATAGGTGAGCAGGGTGCAGTCACCATGTTTCCTCTCTTCCTCCTGGATCACCACATGACAGCCCGGGAGCTCGGCTTCTGGAACGGCGTTATCGCCATGGGCTTCTCCATTTGTGGATCTTCTCTGGGAGGCTTGCTGCTCGCACAGTTTAGGTGGGTTTCATTAACAACCATGGTGTTTGAGATGCGGTGAACAAAATAATTTCGGTTTATCTATGCATAGCATTTAAATTCAACTATGCATAAGTCTTCTAATAAATTTCTCCACGTCTTGAATCCAAGGAATGCCTTTTAATAATAAAAAAAAAAGGTTTAGGCCTAAGGGTCAAACCCCTTATAAAGAAAAATATAAATGGAAACAGTGCTCCCCAGCCCAGACACGGGTCACAGATGCCCCCTTCTAAAGCCAGGCCTGGAGGGGGGCATGTTGTTGAGCGCCTGGTGGCCAGGTTTTTACCCATGGAGCCCGGCCTAGGTCTATAGCGTTTTGAAAATAACCAACATTGGAACACTTCTTATGGTGAATCTGTAAGTTATTGGACAGAATGGGAGCAGCTTCAGTCAGGTCCATAAATACTGGGACATCGACACAATGCTAACAGTTTTGGCTCTTTACACCACCACAATGGATATCAAATGAAACGAACAAGATGCACTTTAACTGCAGACTGTCAGCTTTTATTTAAGGGTATTTACATCCAAATCAGGTGAACGGTGTAGGAATTACAACAGTTTGCATATGTGCCTCCCACTTGTTAAGGGACCAAAAGTAATGGGACAGAATAAGAACCATAAATCAAACTTATACATTTCAATACTTGGTTGCAAATCCTTTGCAGTCAATTACAGCCTGAAGTCTGGAACACATAGACATCACCAGATGTTGGGTTTCATCCCTGGTGATGCTCTGCCAGGCCTCTACTGCAACAGTCTTCAGTTCCTGCTTGTTCCCGGGGCATTTTCCCTTCAGTTTTGTCTTCAGCAAGTGAAATGCATGCTCAATCAGATTCAGGTCAAGTGATTGACTTGGCCATTGCAAAACAGTCCACTTCTTTCCCTTCAAAAACTCTTTGGTTGCTTTTGCAGTTTGCTTTGGGTCATTGTCCATCTGCACTGTGAAGCGCCGTCCAATGAGTTCTGAGGCATTTGGCCGAATGTGAACAGATAAAATTGCCTGAAACACTTCATAATTCATTGTGCTGCTTTTGTCAGCAGTCACATCATCAATAAATACAAGAGAACCAGTTCCACTGGCAGCCATACATGCCCACGCCATGACACGTCCAGCACCATGCTTCACTGATGAGGTGGTATGCTTAGGATCATGAGACCTTTCCGTCTCCATACTCTTCTCTTCCCATCACCCTGGTACAAGTTGATCTTGGTCTCATCCATCCATAGGATGTTGTTCCAAAACTGTGAAGGCTTTTTTAGATGTTTGGCAAACTTTAATCTGGCCTTCCTGTTTCTGGGGCTCACCAGTGGTTTACATCTTGTGGTGAACCCTCTGAATTCACACTGGTGGAGTCTTCTCTTGATTGTTGACTTTGACACAGATACACCTACCTCCTGGAGAGTGTTCTTGATCTGGCCAACTGTTGTGAAGGATGTTTTCTTCACCAGGGGAAGGATTCTTCGGTCATCCACCACAGTTGTTTTCCGTGGTCTTCCGGGTCTTTTGGTGCTGCTGAGCTCACCGGTGCGTTCCTTCTTTTTGAGAATGTTCCAAACTGTTGTTTTGGCCACGCCTAATGTTTTTGCTATCTCTCTGATAGGTTTCTATTGTTTTTTCAGCCTAATGATGGCTTGCTTCACTGATAGTGACAGCTCTTTGGATCTCATCTTGACAGTTGACAGCAACAGATTCCAAATGCATATAGCACACTTGAAATGAACTCTGGACCTTTTATCTGCTCATTGCAATTGGGATAATGAGGGAATAACACACACCTGGCCATGGAACAGCTGAGAAGCCAATTGTCCAATTACTTCTGGTCCGTTAACAAGTAGGAGGCACATATGCAAACTGTTGTAATTCCCACACCGTTCACCTGATTTGGATGTAAATACCCTCAAATAAAAGCTAACAGTCTGCAGTTAAAGCACATCTTGTTTGTTTCATTTGATATCCATTGTGGTGGTGTATAGAGCCAAAAGTGTTAGCATTGTGTTGATGTCCCAATATTTATGGACCTGACTGTATGATTAGCATTGTATCTGTTTTTAAACCCTGTTATGGCATGGGGATGGATGGTAAAGGTAGTTAAGGATGTGTTAAAAATATACAAGAGCCCAAAAACCCCTACCAGACTGCAGCTTGTTGTACCACATAATCAGAGGTTTTACATGCTGTCAACCATTTCAGTCTTGATCAGCTTCCTCATTTGATTATGCAGATTTATCCTTTACCTTCTCTTCTTTATTATTACACTTTGGAAGATTGTGTGTGTGCGTTTCTGTCTGTCTGACAGTGTGTGTATAGTAATTTAAGTAAACATTGCCTTGTTTGAGAGCACAGGGACCCCCTGTGTGATGTGTGGTGTGAGAACAGCAAGAGAAGCACATCCTTTACACACATTTTTGTGCACACACACAACACGTGATAGAAGTCACGCTCAGAACCAACATGGAGGTGAATGAATGTCTATTTTTTTTACAAACAAATACAAAGAGTTGAGTTGAGTTGGCGTCCGGTTTCTCCTATGCATGTTTTATTGCAGAATTTGCATGGGATTTCGTAAATGACTCCACATTTAAGTCCAGCTAATATTTTGTCTTTTGGGTGTACTAGTCTGTTTAAACACACGAACAATAGAACACAGAAAGGAGTGCGAGAAAGAGGCAAGTTGAAAACACACAAGAGCAGCAAAAGAAGAAGCAGAAAGCACAATAAAGAAATCAGCCGTAACAGATCACTTCATAAGAGAAAACCATATAATGGACTGGGACAACACAAGGATCATAAACACCGAACAACAGAAATACAAAAGATGGATAAAAGAAGCAATCGAGATAAGGAGACGTGGATGTGGGACCATGAACAGGGACGATGGAGTTTACACGGTGGACCGCGCATGGGACTGCATCATCGGAGAGGGGAGAGCGGGCAGCAGAGGGCGACAACGTCCTCTGCTGCCCGCCAATAAACGGAGAAGGAAGTGACGCCACCATCAGCGTCAGCCTGACGAAGTTTGCAGCGGCAAACGAAACGTAGCGGGAAAACAGGTAAACAGAACTGCTCTGTGTTTTCAAAAAGAACTACAGCATGGAATTAGAGAAACGACACAGCAAGAACACACCTAAGATGTTCAAAGATAAAACCATTTAAACATTATCAAACATAATGGAACTTACTTCTTGACTGAAAAAATGCACACAGGATAGAAATGAAGGTAAGTCCCTGTCATATTTCAGCAGATTGCAGCGCAGGTGCACACAGCGCGAGCACAAAGTCACCAGCTAATGCTAGCACCAGCTCCAGCGAAGATGTGTTCATGGACCTTCGTAAAGATGGCAGCTTACATCTAGGCTTTCCGACAGGATTAATTTCTGACTTTTATAATTCTGAATATTTATAAATAGAAATCGCGATTCAGACGTGAATTAGATTATTTGTCAGACACCTCTAGTATTTATGGCCTGGCCCACCTTGGCTTGTGACCGTAAGAGCTGCATTTCTGTTAGCTAGTCAGAGGTTAAATATTTAAATGTTGTGATTTTTATTGAGCAAGAGTCGTAACCCTGCTGTTTTCTTAATTATACTCCCTCAAACAGGAGAACCAAAGCTTTATTCCATAGAAAATGACTCACAAGGCATTCATTCATACTAGATACTACAGAAAATGTGTTGAAAAAAGTGAATGAGAACTTTTAATTTTTTGCCATTCTCATTTTATGTTGAACTTTTTAGAATGTAGAAAATAAAAATAAAAAAGCATTACGATCTTTTGAGAAACAGCAAATTTTCTGAAATTTTCATAAGTCCTTGCAACTTGACACTGTGCCTTTACTGCAGGACCACAGCTGGGTCTGTTGACTGAAATCTTACTATAGCACAGCTCTTCCTATACCCAGTGTGATGTAATGGGAACTATATATAACAACAATGCTTTTTCGGTGGATGCCCTGTTAGTTTACATTCCATGCATTGTTATATTCCTAACAATAAATTCAATAGTCATTCGATCTACAACGTGAGGATTATTTGCTGCTTAGACAGTTACATACCCAGCTACATCAACTGATCACAAGTCAGTAGAGCTAATGTAATTCATTGTTTGGAAATGGAGAGATATGGTGTCTTTTTCAGATGTTGGTGTCTGTGTCGATATTGGAGGTGTGTGTTAGCGTGCCCATGTCTTTGTTCTTTACTTTCTCTGATGTCAGTCCGTTTGGTTCTTTTCTTTTGTGAAGAAACACTAATAAACAGAGGAATTCTCCAAAGGCCAAACTTTTCTAAAGGCTAAAGTGCTTTGAAAAGCTGTCATTGTGATACTTTGGCTTTTGATCTTTAACTCTGTCTTCGTGTCAGGAAGTGACATGTTCACTTCACATACCTCTTGAGACAGAAAAATCGTGCAGCTGGATCCAGAGAAATTGAGTTTTATTTGTTTCTCACCACCAGCCAGCTGGTTTTAATCTGAGCTTCAGTCATCTTGAACTAAAGGCATTTCAAATAAATCATATGTAAAAGTACAGATTCAATCACTTTTATTTATATCTGTAACATTAATCACCTAACAGACTGGTAGAGTGATGCCATTCACATCAGTCATCAGTTTTTTTTTCCTCTTTTTAAATAAAACAAACGGCTACGTTGATGTCACAGTGTTTACTTGAGATTCAAACTTATCAAGTGAGGTTTGCAGTTACATTACAAAGAAAATACATTATCTTTGAGTTCTAACATTCAACTAATTAGGACATAATTCTAATAATATCATTATTAATATCATTATTGATATTATTATTATTATTGATTAGCTCTGATTTAGAGGTTTATGGGGGGGGGGGGTTTCACCAAGGAGGCTGCGTGGTCGCACAGTTGTTAGCACTGTTGCCTTGTAGTAAGAGGGTTGCAGGTTCGAAACTCAGCTGCGGCCTTTCTGCGTGGAGATGCTTGTACTCCCCATGCATGCGTGGGCTTCCTGCGAATACTCCGGTTTCCCCCACAGATCACAACATGCCCTATGGTTAACAATTGTACGTCACTTTGGATCAAAGCGTCTGCCAAATAAATAAACAAACATAAACCTCCGTCTGTCCAAAGTATAGCTGTTTCCCCCCTCAGCCAGTATGGGCTGACTCCAGATAGAAGCAAGTTCCCATTGACTACATGTTAGAAATGCCAACTTCACAGCAGAAATGAACACGTTTACAGCCTGGTGCAGGCTGGTGTTACAGCCGTGGCGCCGCCCATTGGACTCCAGTTGAGCTCTTCAGATTCAAGGGTGATTGTGTGGAGGGTTTGTTTGGTCATTCGTTTTCACACAATGTGTCACGGTTAACGCAGATTAGAGAAGCAGCTGTAAATAAAATACAGTAGCTTTTCTTGAAGCTGAAAGTCACCAGGGTTCTTTGCTGTGCAGATGATGTTTGTGAAAGTTGATTTTCGAGATAAAATCATGTGCCATGTTTCCAGAACGGTATTTATGCTTTAAAATCAGGAACATGATATTGTTCGTTGTTAGAAACGTTCCGTTCCAGATTAACACTTTCTCTCCCTTTACTTTTCTTTTAACACACACACACACACACACACACACACACACACACACACACACACACACACACACACACACACACACACACACACACACACACACACACACACACACACACACACACACACACACACACACACACACACACACACACACACACACACACACACACACACACACACAGAGAGAGAGAGAGAGAGAGGGGGGCTGTCCAACAGGCTGCTGTCCCACGTCTAAAAGCTCCGTTGGAAGGTTTATCCTCTCCACCATCAGAAACGGCTGAGTGGTCAGTGAGTAACCCCCTTTAGAACCGCCACCAGCAACCTGAGAACAAACCTATTCTTATCTGGGCCTGTCCTGAGTAAGGTGGCAGCCAGGCAGGTTTTCTCTCTCTCCTCTCTCTCTCTCTCTCTCTCTCTCTCTCTCTCTCCCTCTCTCTCTCTCCTCTCTCTCCTCTCTCTCCTCTCTCTCTCTCTCTCTCTCTCTCTCTCTCTCTCTCTCTCTCTCTCTCTCTCTCTCTCTCTCTCTCTCTCTCTCTCTCTCTCTCTCTCTCTCTCTCTCTCTCTCTCTCTCTCTCTCTCTCTCTCTCTCTCTCTCTCTCTCTCTCTCTCTCTCTCTCACTCACTCACTCACTCACTCACTCACTCACTCACTCACTCACTCACTCACACACTCACACACTCACACACACACACACCCTCTTGAGAAAGTGTGATATGAAAGGCTGTCATTGAGAAAGGAGGTAAAGAAGAAACAAATGGAAGAATGTCTTTGCATGTGAATGGTGCAGGCTTGGGTTTTCTAGCCAGCATGTAAGAAAAGGCTGGGCTTCGAGGCAAGATGGGTGAGAGGGGAAAGGGAATGAAATTTAAGGAAATAAAAATCAGCAGAATTTGTCATCTTACTTTAAAAACATTGTGTTCTGATGTAAAACCATCTTGCAAATACTAGAATAATGCTAAAAAAGCACAAACTGGAGGTAAGTTTTTTGCAGCCAACTGCAACTAAACTGTTAAATCAGATATTGTGATTAGTGCAGGTCTCTCACAATCTTTATTACAGAAAAATAATTACATGCAAAAAAAAAAAAAAAACTGAAGCGCACACATGCAGTCCTTTGAGTGGCAGGTATCCTCTGTTTGATTGGCACTGCTAATCCCTATTGTCACACAACACTGAGAGTGCATGTGTGTGAGTGTCTGTGTGTTTGTATTTATGTTACCAGTGATTCATTATTTTTCTCATGCTGGGGAGCTCCTTAGGTTATTGATTACGTCACGAACCAAACCCACAGGGGTTTGCACTAACAGGGAATCAATTAGTGTCTGGGGACTTGTTTACTTATGCTCATGCTCTCATGTAAATGTGTGTCCCCCCATTTGTGTGCATTAGTGTAATTGTGTGTTGCATCAAGACACTCGTGATGTCTGTAAATGTTATGATACCCGTTTGTCTTTTGCCATCATGCAACAGACTGCTATCTGATACACTCATACCAAACAACATAGCTGACATCTCTCTGACTTTTCCTGGTCTTTTCTCAGCATCGGGGCTCTGATGCGGCGTGTGTTCATGCTACGAACCATCAGCATGGTCTTCCAGAGTTCTCTGCTTACTATACTGGAACCATCCCCCCTCATGAAAGGTGAGAAACAAGCAACTCTCCCAACAACAGACAAGAAGTTGTCCAGTTTGCCATATTGTTTTAGATGGTATACAAGAAGATGTTTCATAAAATAAAATAAATAAAAATAAACCAGATCTTCATGAAACAAAAACTTTGAGTCATTTTCAATACATTCATTTTTCTCAGTGACATAATTTCAACTTAGTTCTGCAAATTCAAGGTTTTCACTCTTTACTACTGTCTGAAACTGAAGAGTATCCATAGCTTATGATATTTCATTTAAGAAATCATTAAAGAAACCACGAAATTCTGTGTAAAGAAGTTGTTGAAAATGCAATTAAAATTAAAAATTCAAGCAAAAAGCCAACAGGTCTGTCTTTTCATTAACTTATACATTTTTGACCTAACAAAATTGATGTTTTATGTTCATTTTTGAAAGGGACTTGTGAAACAAAAATATATTTAAACATTTTTGTCTGTAAGTGTAAACATAGGTTATCGTAAAGCTTTACTGCTTCTTGTGAGATTTGTGACTTTGAGTTCAGGGAGGCTCAAGTCTCAAATGCAGTGATCTGCCCACAAGAAGCGGACGGAGCTGAGGGACTATTTAGTCACCAGGTAAAGGGTCTCTGTAGCACCATACTGGCACAAGAAAATTATTTAAAGGAAGTTACTTGATGCACCTTTAAAAAGGCCACAAAGGGACATAGTCTTTGTTTACAATCTGTCCTGCCACCATATTTCCTGGTTCCAGAGCCAATCAAATGTAAGTAAAAGGCAGAGGTATTTTTTTGTGAACCTAACGGTGAAGTTACACTTTGATCTGCTCTACGTGGGCCAGGTTGGGACAGCCCGCTTCTGCGTGGACAAGTTGTGTTTACACAGCCTTCTCAGGAACGTGGATGTGGACAGGACATGGGCAGGCTCTGCTAAAGTGGTACAGAGAAATCCGTGGTGTCATTCCTAAGTGCCACAATTTAGTAAGCTACCTTTTCAATTACCAACAACTCGATATTACAGTAAAATGTATTCATCTACTTATCTACTTAATGTGTATGACTCATCTTCCTTCATCATCTAGAATTTTCTGCCGATTTTCCGTAACTGGAAACTGGCACACAACTCACAAAGGGAGGAGGGGACTTGTTTGTTTTTATACATGGATTGTAGTACCCACATTTGGCCACAGGATGTCAGTCTTATTTCATGCACCTGTAAATAGCCAAAATATCACATGACTGAGCTGCTCGGGCCCTTCTTACCAACAATGTCATTTGCTGTGTCTTCTCTTTTGGAACACTAATTTTTTTGCAGCAATGTTCTACCTGGTACCTGAAGTGGCTACAGCTGCATAAACATTAGCCATTAGCATGTCTAGCTACTATGTTGCTTCTGCATCAACCTATTGTAGCATGACTTTATTCCAGCAACATGATTGGTCCGGTGCAAAGCTGTTCATCTTTTCTTTATTTTAAGGCCTTATATCAGTTTTTTCTCATTGTTCAGTCAAGGAAAAATTATTTCAAGCTATTTATTTTTATTGTTTAATTGCCAAGCTCTAGCTTCCCCATAGCTGAATGTAAAACTTAATTTTATAGAAAATACTACCAACACTTATGACTGGATAAGTGTATGAGCCTTTCATCTAGATGCATTTAAACAGGAAAGGACACAAGCGGTTGATGCTTTGGATGGATGTGGACAAGAGGTCTCTTTTCAGACAGCACATCAGTTTAAAACATCTACAATCACTGTGCTCCTGGTGCCGTGGTGTTTTGGGATTCACATAATTCATCTCTGTCAGAAACGTCTCTTCTATCAAATCTCTCAAACTAAAAGTTGAGGCCTCTCCTTCCTCTGTTTCAAAGCCCTAACAAAGATTTCAGAAATCTGACAAAAAAAATGGGAGGAAGAAAAAACGGCAAGCAGAAAAACATTCAGTTTCAGATTTTCAATATTACATGATAACACTCCGCTTTCCCCTCTTCCAGTCTGATCAGGCGGTGTATCTGTGTGACTCCACCAGCATTGTGTCGCTGACTGAAGAGTCTTATTCGGCAAAAAACTCTGGTGGCTTGAGTGAATAATTCAGTGTTCGTGGGAGCGGAGACAGATAGGCTCTGTGGTTCCTCTGTGTTTCGCTGCTCTGCCACTTCCCCTCAGAGGATAACGCTACATGAGTTTTGGAGTTGTGAGGCGGGAGGCTCTTCAGCAGCTTACCTTTTCTTGCTGCTTTGTCTCTTCACTTTTACTTCTACATAAACTAGCGTAGAAAAGCAGGCAACACTGTAAGACTGTAGAAGAATCACTCGTGTTCTTGGATGTTTGACTGCCGTTGGACGTAGATGTTTTGTGACTGAGTTTTGATTTATTTAGCTTGTTTTCCTCTTCAGGTATGGCAGTCCTA